CAACAAACGTACCAAGTGGACCGGCTCTCGAATAGTGCAGAAACCAATCAATAGATTAGTTGGGACTGGGGGCAATAAAAAATACAAGTGGAACGCTTGTACAGTCCACAAAATCGTTTCGGTAAATTATATATATATATATTACATATAAATAAAATTGGAGTGTCTCTTTGTAATATTGAAGTAATCGATTTTTACTACATGCATATGAATATAAATACGATACATACACCAAAATATTCTTTTTTACTATTTTTGTCTGTCTGTCTGTCTGTCTGTCTGTTTGATCCGGCTAATCTCTGAAATGGCTGGACCGATTTTGACTTGACTTTTTTTGGCAGGTAGCTAATGTAATATTATTTATATAAATTAAAAACTTTTATTTTAGAAAAGTACAAGTTTCTTGCCACGCGTGATGAAGTCGCGATTCCAATGAGTATTTAATAAGACTACATATTGCGCCAATCCCAAATAAATGGGATAAGGAAGAAGCAGATGATGATAACAAGACTGCGCCGTGACCTAACTAATGATATTTAAAGGTCAATAAATAGTAAATATCGTCTAAAGACGCAGATCATGAGTTCTAATCTGACCAACAGATAACAAAAAATGTGTTTAAGTACTTCTGTCAGTTGTTTAGTACCTATAAAGCAAGCTCACAAAAATTAACACAACGCCATCTAGTTATAAGTTAACCAAATATATAACTAGATGGCTTTGTCTGAATTGTACTTGTTCATTATTGTTAAATAATAATATACAAGAACTAGCTTTATCCCGCGGCTTCGCTCGCGTTATTTTATCCCCTTGGGGTGGAATTTATCAAAATCCTTTCTATCGGGATACCTATATTATAGTAGCTTTATGCATGCAAAGTCTCAGCCCAATCGGTTTAAAAATGACAAAGTTTCATACAAACTTTCATCCCCTATTAGAATTAACCAAATCCTTTCTTAGCGGATGCCTACGTCATAACATCTACCTGCATGCCAAATTTCAGCCCGATCCGTCCAGTGGTTTGGGCTGTGCATTGATAGATCACTATGTCAGTCACCTTTGAGTTATATATATTTATTTACACAATAAAACAGAAAAGCGTAGAAAAATATTTATTCAAATAAACTTACATTGAAGCACTTTTGAATAGTCATCACTTTTTTTTTTAATCTACCGCTCATTCGGAAAGCCTTCTCATCACAAGAAGAACGAGCAAGAAACTTGTGTGTATCTCTTTTAAATAATTTTATTCTTATTTACAATTTAAGTTTAAGTGTGTGAATACAAACTACCGATTAGCACTAATTCAATGAAATAATCAAATAGAAATAATATTTAATACACAACAACTGGTTAAACAATTAATAAGAGGAAATCAGTCATAGTGATTCGAGCAGAGCAGTCCCAATAAGCAGCACCCGTCACGAGTGTGACAGATGAGCCAGCCATCACTGCGCTCGACCATATTTTAGGGAGCCCAATGACCCGGCCCACCACGCCGCCATACGTCTGGACATTTTAGTGAGCATGACTACTCAAAACGAACAATCGATTAACAACACGTCTACTCAATCTAGATAGACATAACCTCAAAATAATGATAGGGACAATAACGGGCCATTGTTCCTTAAACAAACACTTATACAAAATTGATGCTACAGGCAGTCCCCTTTGTCGGGGCTGTGTTGAAGCTGAAGAAACGGCGGCTCACGTAATCCTGGAGTGCACGGCAGTGGCCCAACAACGAAAACAAATCCTCGGAACGGTGAGGTCGCTCCGTGAAGCCTGTGAAGACACCAGCAGTCTTCTGCGCTTTTGGGAGGAACTTGGCTGGCTACTTTAGTAGTCTGGCTCTGCACGCACAACGGCCCGAATGAGAGGCTAATTGCGGAGACTGGAGTCCAACATACATTTACATTTATATTTACATGACTACTCAAAACACCAGACCACGTCATAGCTACTCACAATAGGGTGGGCACACTCCCCTTAAGATGGAAGCAAGTAAAGCTGCCACAACTATATGCAATATACAATATACACTTTTAACTTTGACCCAGGCGCGCTCGCTCTCGCGGCATATATTCAACGGTATAAAGTGAAGATGTACAGCGAGACGTGTCGTTGTACTACCTTGATGCTCTACTTATAAATTATACATAATATATCATCCTGGTTATACCCCTCCGATCGATCACCCGTTCAATTCAAACGGAAATCGATATTACGACGGCCTGAGCCGAGGTTCGAACCCCTAGTGGTGCCCTCAGACTAAAGTCGTATCCGTCAGGCAGGAGTTGGCTTTCAGCCGCTCCATAAGACTTTCCGCGGGTTTGGAGTGCCATCTGCACTCGCCACCTAACGTCCGGTGAAGCTGTAAAGCCCAGCTGCGGCCAACAGCATTAGAGTAGTCCGAAAAAAAAAATCCTTGTTATAATATATCTTCCATCATACTCGTGAACGAGTGCTACTTGTTGGTACTGGTCTAATCACTACGTCTAGTTTTATCAGCGAACTTTCTAGATTAACTTGATTGTTTGTGTTTTTTATATCAATGTTTATTTACTTGGAACTGCTGCTTTCGCAGAAAAGCACCATAGTGATGTGGCACTCCAAAGTCGCGAATAGACTTAAGGAGCGGCTGTAGGCCAACTCCAGTCTGACAGATTTGTGGAACGTTCGAACAAACGTTTGTGTCGCGAACTAGTTTTTCACGCAAAAACCACTTTTAGCGGCTACGTTGGAGGATTATTTACATTGGATCTATATAGCAAGAATTTTAGTCTAAGGACACAGCTATATACCTCGGCTCAAGTATTCCAATTTGAATTGTAACTAACAAACTGCTAATAACGTTTTCAAAACGTATATTACAGCGCGTTCTAAAATTAAACGAGTAAAAAAAAAGTATTTTTTTTTATAAATTTAATTTACTTTTTTTTTTACTCGTTAGATTAATCTTATATATAAAATTCTCGTGTCACAATGTTAGTTACCATACTCGTTGGCTTGACCGATTTTTATGAAATTTTATAAGAATATTCAGTAGGTCTGAGAATCGGGTACTATTTATTTTCCTTTATCACTTAGGGGTCTAAGTGATAAAGGTTGCCCCTAACATTTATTTTTAAATTTTGAACAGTTTATTTTTTTATAATATCATATTAAGAAATGTGTACTCTAAATTTTCACCCTTCTATCACCAACCCCTACAGTTTAATAGCGATTTTCATTTATATGGCAGGTAGTAATTTATATAAGAAGATCTCTTTATAATATTAGTGCAGAGTACGTGGACTGTACAATGTAATAATAATAATAATAATAATAATGTTGCCATCTCCTCTCCTTAAGAGGGGAGATGAGAATTTTTGGATAATAATAATAATACTTTATTTGCCAAATGTAGGTAAACAATAAGGTGTTAAAAATATGTTGTTGAGATCCGTACATTAACCTCGTAAGAGGTGTGCAAAATTTCAAATTGTAGGTACAATTAATGTTTAATGAAATAAAATTACTGTACTACGTCATCATACCGATAGTCATTAATCAATTGTCTTTACGTCAATGTATCAGTCAGGAAATCACCAACTGTGTAGTAAGTTTTACCAATCAGTATATTTCTAAGAGCAGTTTTAAATTGATGGATACTACCAATAGATTTTAATGCCCTTGGAAGATTATTATATATTCTAGGTCCCATTCCTAAAATACTATTACACGACATAGCAGTTTTACCCGGAAAATTACACAATTTATCATTATTACGTATTCCTTTGATGTTATTAAAAAGTTCAAGGTTTGTAATAAAAAATATATCTTTTTATAGTAGAGCAACTTCAAATGCGTGCCGTTTTGGTATCTCTAGCTGAATAGAGGGCCGGAGATGTAGGGTGCGGCATACTATATGCACGAGGCCGGATATTGTGGTATAAAGGAAATATTTTATACTAGATTTTGCGTGAGTAGTAGTTCAAGCATATACATAGATAGAATAAGCATGCTAAAAAGAATATTTGATGATTAAGTCATCAAATATTCTTTTTAGCATGCTTATTTTTAAATATCTCTTACTCTATTCAGATATATACTAATAAACGTTAATTTTAAGCGTGCTTTATTTAAAAACTCTTTGTCTACTCAAATATACATTAACATATATTCATTTTAAGCATGTATATTCTTTAATATCTCTTTCTCTATTCAAATATACATTAACATATATTCATTTTAAGCATTTTTATGCTTTAATATCGCCGTATTACCAAAAACCTCATTCATCATGATTCAAAATGTTGACAACGCGTTACACTCTTGTCACAAAAGAGTTTTATAACTAAAAAACGTTAATTTTAAGAATGCTTTATTTAATAAACTTTTAAATATAAAGTATAATTAATTTTACAATAAGATAATAATAATAATAATAATAATAATAAAACTCTTTATTGTGCATAAAAGAAACAAATAATTACAAAAAGGAAATAAAAAAAAAACTTTCGAACAGCCCAGAACCGATCATCGGATATGCAAACAAAAGGCGGCCCACCGAAAGTATCGCTTAAAGCAATCTTGTTACAGACAACCTGGGTGTGGTATATGAAATAGAAGCATTGGGTAAATTCCATGGGAAGGTAGGTGGCGCACTATAAAAAAGAGTTAGATATTATATGAATACTAAATATACATATATACAAATAAGATCATCAATCCGCATTACTAACAATCCCCTCTCCCCCCCGAATATATATATATATATATATATATATATATATATATATATATATATATATATATATATATATATATATATACATATACACATAGACACACACATACATATACATAAATAGAATATATAATTAATTACATGTCTTACAAAAAGTAACAGAACAGGACATTACATTAGAAAGATTTTTAATTGGAGAGAAATATGAGATTTTACTAGTTTTTTATATAAATGGACTGGGAGAGAAAGTTTTTACTAGTTTTTAAAAATGGCAGATCTGATAGAAACTGGCAAGGAGTTCCAAAGACGGATAGCCTGGACAGTGAAGGATTGGGAAAAGAAGTTAGTAGATACCAAAGTAGTAAGAGGTATATTGAAATTACCCTTAAATAAATTAAATCTGTTAAATCATATGTACTGAGCAAGGTCCATTACTCACTAAGCGATTACTTGAATGACGAGCGTGCATGGCAATAGTTTTCATGTTCGGGGTTTTCATTTAATGTTAGACATAGACACCTATATAAATACCTATGCATTGTAAATAAACTGGATTTAAAAAAAAAAGTAATTAAATTGAGTTTCTTGCCAGTTCTTCTCAATTGGATCTATATAACGAACTGGACGATAGGGAAAAAAAATTCTAATGTAAAAACTTGACGTTCATAAGCGGCTAAAATGTCCTACATGAATAAATGATTTTTGAATTTGAATTTGAATTTGTAACGAACAGACCTATTTTCGCATTTCTAATATTAGTTTGGATATTATTAAGATATAAGTTTAAGGAAACTTGAATATTGTTAAGTCACTGCTTTGTATTTTACCTTTTAGAAAAAAAACGAGATGTGAAGGAAACCCTAATAAAATGTCCCTGCAAGCATCGGCTTTAAGGCACTAGTCTCACACAAGTAAAAATAAATATTGTTAAAAAAAAGATATTAAAAAATTCAGTATACATATATTTGTATTTATTTAAAACTCCTTATTTTTCAAAAACATCAGATCGTCTGTTTTTATATTTGAATACAACGTGTAAGAACTTATGCGTCTTTACTTATGTTCTCTAACATCGTCATTGGGTAAAATCCCTCTCTAAAATAATAAATCCCTAAAATCCCTAAAATATGGTCGAGCGCAGTGATGGCTGGCTCATCCGTCATACTCGTGAACGAGTGCTGCTTGTACGGATTGGTCTGCTCTTATCACTACGACTGATTTAATATTATTGTGTTTTTATATTTGAGCCTAAATAAATTAGTGCTGGTTGGTAGTTATGTATTCACACGTTTCGACTTGTAAAATGTGAACTTACAAGGATTGTTTAAAAGAGCAACACACAAGTTTCTTGCTTATTCTTCTCGTGATGAGACATCTTTCCGAATGAGCGGTAGACTTAAAAAAAATGTTGACTATGCAAAAGTGCTTAAATTAAGTTTATTTGAATAAATTCTTTAATTTTCTATTCTATTCTGTTTTCTATTCTATTTTATTCATCTCTTGGATTTCTTTGATTTGATATCGGTTCCTTTTAATCATGTACATGATAATTTGAAAAGAAAGGGCTGAGTTTCTTGCCAGTTGTTCTTAGCTCGCAAGCACTCCGAACTGATAGAAGATTTGACGTATCATAAGAGTAATAGACCTACATGAATAATGATATTTTGATTTGATTTGATTTCTTCTTGACCAAATTCGAAATCACTACCTATTATAAACGTGCATGGCAATAGTTATTCATGCACGGGATTTTAATGTAATGTTAGACATAGATACCTATGTAAATATACATTGTAAATAAACTGGCTTTAAAAAAAGAAATTCAGTTGAGTTTCTTGCCAGTTCTTCTTAACTGAATCTGTATACTGAACTGGACGGTGGGGAAATATTAATACAAAAAACTTGACGTTCATAAGCGGCTAAAATCTCCTACATGATACATTTGATTTGTACAAATTAATAATAATACTAATAATCTTTTTATTCATAAACATATAGTATTCAATATATTTAGCCCTGGCTTTATTTTTTGCCTCATAGGCTTTGGCTAGCTTTGATATAGGTTAACCTAAAATGAAAAGAAAGACGCCAGTTCCAGAAAATTAGGCCACGATTCCTCTTTTATCTTCTAGAATGTTACCCACAGTACAGTTTAGTGCTATTATGTTTCATACAACGATTTTAACATTCCAGAATAAGCAATAGCTTTGTTAGCTTACTGTTGTAATCCTCTGTAATGGAAATTCTACAACAGAAATCCTTTGAGGTCAAACTGGATACTGTAGTTGAAATATTCTAAATTAAAATAAACATCATGTATTCATAATAATATAATTACGTTACTCAAACCGTTTTTTTTTTGTTAACTGTATTGCATTTTATTTTATCTGTATTTATGTTGTGTATTGTATTTTGTTTGACTTGACTAATGTAATTGTATATCGGTTTTTATTTTTGTTCTTATTATTACAGTGCCTTGTGTATGTGTTCCTTTAACGTAAATAAATTTTTTATCTATCTAATAACAGTAATAATTTCAGGACAATTTTACACAGCGCCATCTAGACCCAAGTTAAGCTAGCTAAAGCTTGTGTTATTAGTACTAGCTTGTGCTAGCTAGATAACTGATACTGATGTATAGATTTTTTTCCCGTAAATACATACATATTAAACATAGGAAACACCCAGGCTGATATAAACATACTCATGAAAACAAATGTTTGTGCCCTGCGAGGATTCGAACCCGCGAAGATTCAGCTAAGAGAAATAAGCACGAAACTTGCATATACGATATACAATTATGCATATAATATCTGTTACAGATTTTTAAATCTGCAGGATTTGAAGAAACTTAATAAATACTTTTTAATAAAGTTTATAATTTATTTAAATTACTTTTGAATATTCATTTTTTTATTCTACCACTGATTCTGAATTTGTATTTGAAGGCTCAGCTAAGATAAATGAGCACGAAACTTGCATGTTGCTCTTTTAGGTATATACAGTCATACATACATACAATACTAATACATTACGATAACTTTACGGAAATAGTTGTTTTTAATACATTTTGAAGTCCAAATTCAAATTCAAAATATCTTTGTTCATGTAGGTCTATTATAGACTCTTATGATATGTCAAATCTACAGTCAGTTCGGAATGATTTTGAGATGAGAACTGACAAGAAACTCAGCTCGTATTCTTTTCAAATAAATATTGTACACGTTTTTAATAATACAGATTCATTTTTAAATTCAAATTTGGAAGAATAGAGCGATTACCAGCATATTTTTTTTTTTTATAACACAGGGGACAAACAAGCATGCGGCTCACCTGATGGTAAGTGATTACCGTCGCCTGCACCTACCGATGCTACTGCAAAAGCGTCATAACCCGAATATTAAGTAAGTCTTATAATTACTTAATTATTCTTCTTTTGATTTGTATATTTAAATCACTTCAATTCAGTCATACCATTGATCTATCGTGAGTGAGACAAGGGCCTAAGGGGTCGAACAATAAATCATGTCAACTTCACCTCGCCTGACCTTCCCAGTAATATATGACTTTCTTTTGTTTTCTAATATACAAGCATCCCTTCAAGTTGTATTACACGATGGCAAATTGCCACGGGCAGTGACTTATACATATTTGTATTTATGTCACAGTCAGTGGCTATTTATAGATACACAAAAAATATCTTCACGGATGGTAAAATAGAAGGGATAGTCAGGGTGCATTTTTTTAATTCATGATTATTTATTTATTTACGTCATATTGAGGTAGCTTTACAATTTCCCTATATGCCGACTTAGGTAGATTGTATACATATAGACACACTTATATACACTATTTACTAATATATAGACACTAATTATAAGTAAAAAAAAATAAAAATAATCCTAATTTTACATACTACCTAAATAATCTACTGCCATCCTACGAAACTCCAGCAAATTACAAGTAAATAAGTCTAGATCTGATCTAACTACACTTTTGAGTGCCAGAGATGTCGGAAGCACAAACTACTGTTCAAAAAATAAATTCGGCCAGCTATCTGTTCTTCTCTCGAGAAATAGACTAAGTACACCGTTGAGTAAACTTAATGTCAGAGAAATCGGAGCCTGTTCGTTCTGTTCTCTGTTCTTCTCCATGGAACATCAAACGAGTGTCGTCTTTGTGCTTGTACGTAATTATGGAATGATGCATCCACCTGCGCTAACGGTACGCTGGCGGGGCTCCAGTGGAAAATAGGATTAGTATGAGGTCTGGTTAGTGGCCCATAGTAAAAAAAATTGCTTAAAACTATATTTTAGGGTGTTAATTAAATATAAGTAAATTAGTTTGATGACAAGATGGTATCCCAGGGAAGGAAAAAGGAAAAGAGGCAGAGCCCACACAAAATGGGATGATGATATTAGGACAGTGGCAGGAGTAATGTAGAACAGAGTGGCTCAAGAAAGAGAAGAATGGAAACATTTGGACGAGGCCTTTGTCGATTGGCAAACAGATCTACAGACATTAAAAAAGATCCAAATAATATATATATTCGTTTTTAAGTTTTATGTTTGTTTTAAAATAATATATAAGTTGATCTGAATAAACGCTATAATAGAATACAATATAAACTTGGTTTACAAACTTTGAAAACATTTTATGAAATGGGGAATGAAAGTTTGTATGGTAATTCATCCTTCGTAATCTATTCATCGCGGACGAAACCGCGGGCACAGTTAGTGTAATATAATGGAAAGTCATTATATGATGGGGGTTCGAATAGTAGAATAATAATAGTATAATTTACAAGTAAATGGCGATTTACACTCCCACGATCCCACGCGGCGCTGTTACAAATTGTGCTTTTAGTGGCATATCGCACCGGGTGTATACATTAGGTTATATTTCATAGTTTTAAAAGAATACAAATAATTATTAAAAATAGTAGTAGTAAAAGTAAAAGTAGTAGTTTTATTATAAAGTGGCAAATTGTCTTATTGAAACAATAAAAATATACATTAGGTTTTATTTTACTAATTTAAAAGAATACAAAGAATTAGAAGAAAAATTGAGTTTGAAATTAAATTAAATTTTATTATAAAGTGGCAAATTTTCTTATCGAAACAATGAAAAGATACATTAGATTTTATTTTATAAATTTAAAAGAATACTAATAATTAGAAGCGTTATTGAGTTTAAATTAAAATTAATTTTATTATAAAGTAGCAAATTTTCTTATTGAAACAATAAAAATATATGATATTATATAATAATAATAATAATCTCAGGACAATTCGCACAGCGCCATCTAGACCCAAATTAAGCTAGCTAAAGCTTGTGTTATAGGTACTAGATAACTGATACAAATACA